GGCCACAGCTGGCTGTGGAGAAGGTCTGGTTGCCACAGGTGGAACTGCACACGGATCCCTTCAGCTGGCTGGGTAGTGTGGGCAGAGACACAGATACTGCAGACTTGGGGAAAAGATCATATGTCCCCCACACCCTCTTTCCTCTTCCTTCCAGAGTTTCAGGCAAGGCTTGCTTTGCCTATGCCCCCATCTTTGGGCACAGATCTCCTTTCTCCATAACCTAGCCCGGTGCTTGGTAAGAGAAGCCCTTTCTCGGGTGCCAGCTGAGAGGAGGGTAGGGCAGTGGGGCAGGCTGACAAACACTCTCTGCTCATCCTGAGCTGTTTGTCTGTGCATCCTGACTCAGGATCAAGCTGTCACAGCCCCGTTCCCTGCCTTCTGTTGCTTCCCCTGGGAGCTGTCAGGAGGCTGCTGGAGCCATGCGGTAACATGGGTCTCGGGGAGGCAAGCAAGGTCAGATGTCTGCTCAGAAATGAGATTGGCAATGATGCCACCGGTGCTGACAAATGGCCTGTCATTAATCTCTGACTCATGGCAGCGGAGAGGGCAGCAGTGGAAGAAACCCATGAGGTCACTGGCAGCCTCTCTCCCATGGGACCTGCACACAACTTCCACCCTAAACCTTTCTGCATGGGGGGGACTCATCCCTGGGATGGGAGGGGGTTCTTTTCCTACACACTTGCTCTGAGTTTTTGCGTTTGTGCGCAAGTGCAGGGTACGACTCCAGACGAGCTGCAGTCAAGGCCCTAAGCACCTGGGAACTGGCACAATCATACAGTCCCTGTGGAACTGGATCTTGGCTTGTGGCATAGCTCAGGCTCAGCACTGGTGCGAGCAGGATGAAGGTTGAAACAAAGCTTGTGTTATCAGTGTGTTGCAATACCGTTGTGAGACACGAGGTGCTGTGCTGCTGGGAGAGGCTGCAGGGAGCTGGGGGGGACCAGACTGGAATGGTCAAACCCTGGCTGTGCTCCCTCATGCTGGGGGCTGGGTCTGCAGGGTGCTCAGCTGTCTTGCAGAGCAGCCTTCCCTCCTCTCCTGCTCTTTGAGTCTCTTCTTGTGCTTTTTATAGAAAGAGGGGTCGTTCCTCAGTTGCAAAATACTCCTTGGAGGTGATAGCAAACAGACAGGACATTCTGTGGTAGTGGATGGAGATCTGATGGAGTGAAGTGCAGCATCTGATGGAGATGCTGCACTCCCCACTCAACCATTCTGGTGAGCTGCACAGGGCTGAGCTGCTTTTTAGGGCAGCTGTTGGTGCTACAAGTACAACCTTTACCCATGAGCAGGGAAGAAGTGACTTTCTCCTCTGGATTATTTGGGGGTTGCCTCAGTCTCTTTTAGGATGTAAGGAGACATGGTTATTCCACCTCAACTCACTCCAGATTCTTGAACCTCTCAGCTTGTACTGGGGAGTGGATGGGCAGCAGAAGGCAGAGGCTGCAGTGTGGGATTGGGAGGGGAGGGCAGGGGAGAGGGGTGCGCTGATAGAGATGTGGAGGGGCTGATTTTGGAGAGTGAGGGCTGCCACCACCCCAGGCTGCTGCAGCAGTGGCACAGCCTGAGCTGTGCCTCCAGGACCTTCCCCCTCTGCCTCTGCTGAGCTACGATTTAATTTTTCACTTTTCTTCCATCCCCTCTTAACTGGAAGAAGTCCTAAATAAAGTTGCTGTCAGTTTTATTTATGGGCACAGAGGAAGACACGGACAAAAAGCCTGTGTGCTCCTGACAGCTACAAAGCATCCGGCTGTTTTTCCTCGCTCGCCTTGGTGAGGCAATCGATCTGGGCACAGGCAAGCACCCTCCCTGCATGCATGGGGCTCCCACGTGCCCCTGCCCAGGGCACCCACAAGGATGGATGGGAGGGGGCTCTGCATCCTGGGTTTTGGCTCTCAGCTGTTGCAAAGCCAGGCTTGTCTGGGAATACCTGTCCTAAAATCCTGGACCCCTGAAAATACAGATGCATGAACACGCCTGCCTTAAGAATCCATCACAGGCTTCTTGTCTCCATCTTGATTGGTTCCAGTGAGGTCAACTTTTTTTAATAACTCCTGGACTTCAGCAGGGAAAACTATTTCCTTCAGGAAATAATATAATTAAGGCTGCCTGACACTTCTGATTATAAACCCCTGTCTTCAGTTGCTTGAAACTACGCCAGCCTTTAACCATTTGGACTGAAACTTCACATGTCTCTGCCTCCGGCTGAATTTTTTTGGAAAATTTTAGCAAAGAGAGTTTTAAGCTGCTCTCAGAACAGGGTTGGGGGGAAAAAAGGCATTAGTTTATCCACAGTTAAAAATAAAATTTAAAAAAAAAGAAGCAGAAAAATTCTTGCAGTTGTGCTGAAGAAATTCCAGTATCTTTGCGCTGTGAGACTGAGCCTGACAGTTTTGGGGAAGGTTTTGAGCCAGGCATCAGGGTTCTGCTCGTTGCTGGCGGCACAGAAATCAGCCTTCCCCGCGCCAAGTGGCGAGGCTGTGAATCGCGGGCTGTGTGGGTGTGTCACCCACGGCGTGTGCGGGGAGATCCCCGCAGCAGGAGCTGCTCTGCAAAACCTGCGCCCCCAGCTCCTGCAGGGATGCCTCGCTGCTGGGAAATGTTGGGCCCCTTCTGCTGGTGCAAGTAAAATTCGTGGATCCCTGACCAGCTTGTGGTGGAGAGAAAGATTTTTGGCAAATGATGTGTGTTTGGATTTTCATTTTTTTTTTCCATTAAACAAGTGGTTCAGTTATCCATTAGCCCTTGCTGTGCCATGTGGATGCATCATGTGGGACATGCAGCATGCCATGAGTGCTGAGCTTCCTCCAGCATTTTGCAAGGACCTGTTTAAAAAGTTAGTGCTTTTGCAGGCAGGTTTCTCTTAAGTCAGCTTGTTGCTACAGAAATGGCCAAAGCAGGAGAATTTCTGTGGGGCAGCCCAGACAGGTGTCACACTGATGATGTGCCATGACCATGGCATTGCTGATGTCCTGGTGATGCAGGGTGAGCTCAGCACTGATGCAAGCCGTCCTGCAGAAACCTGACCCAGGACTTGTCCCGGCTCTGTGGATGATGATATTTGCTCCTTATGTGAGCCCACCTGAGCTGTGACCAAGGCTGTCCCATTATTATGGGGAAGCACAGCTCACAGATCTTCCCTCTGGCTCAGCAGTAACTCATGCCCCAAGTCAGGTCCTTCAGCTGATGACCTGTTTTGGACATGCTGAGTTCCTCCAAAATCCAGTTTGACCTCAATTTGAAGCCCCTACAAAAGCAAGTCATGCCTTGATTTCCATGTGGAAAGCTGGGCTGCTGGACCTGTGGCAGAGCTGGCTCATCTGGCTCAGTGCAGGGCACAGAGGTGGCAGAGAATGTCAGTCCTTTCCACAGGTTCCAGAGATGTCTCTCAGAAAAGGCACTGGGATTTTGCACTTTGCACCCACAATAATGCACTCTCTCCCTGAGGGTACTCATGCTCAGCTCAGTCTCTCTTCTCAGGTCCCTGCCAAGCTGGAATTAGAGCCTAGGAGGGTCTCTGGCAGGTAATGATAAATGAGCCTCATCTCTTGCTGTAGCCTGGTCTCCTTTCCTGTTCTGCTTCATCTGTGGGTAGGGAAAAAAACCAACACCCCCAAACAAAAATGTTTCCAAATAACCAAAGAGTTACATTTGCATTGCAAAGTGAGAGGAGGTTTGGTGGGGAGCACCCCCTCCCCTCCTTGCCAGTCACTCCTCAGCTCTGGGGTGCCTGGCAGAGCAGGTTTTGAATGATGGGGCATTGTGGGTGCTGAGCTTGGGGCAGCTGGAGTTAAATTTCTTGGTGGCTGACACCTGACAAGTGTGATAAATTGTGGCACACCATGGCTGCCGGCATGACAAACAGTCAGCTCCCCTCCTTGTAAACTCTGGGAAAATTTTGTAATTATTTCCAAGCACTTTGCAAATGAGGGTTTCACCATCAGGAGCCCAGTGTAGTTTCAGGGGGTGGTCATTTATTTATTTAGGTTTTGTAGTCAGGCAGGAGGTGGAGGGGGGGTTGTAGTTTGGGTTTCTGCAGCATCCTCCCATTGGCTTGTCCAGGCTTTGCATGAGGTCCTGGGAGGAACTCTGGCAAAGCTCATCAGCTGAGGGTTGGGTGCTAATTAAAGCGTGTGGTGTTCCAGGCTTGGAGTCACTGTCACCCTTGGGAAAGAATCTCTGCAGGAGTGAGTCCCAGACTTTTCTCTTGCCAGTGGGTTTTGGCTCCTATTTTTCATTTTTAATAATGCAGAGCCACAAGACTTGATTTTTTTTTTTCTCTTCAAAGCATTTAAAAAGAAGTAGGGGGAGCAACACAACCTCAGCCACGAGAGCTGGATAATGAGTACAGATCTCAACTGATAATTTGTTTGTGTAACACAAAAAGCGTATTTCCTGCTGTAAGGGAGGGCACCACTGGTTACACCAGTGCCTCTGACTCCATCTCACCAGACAGCGTGTCAGACCTAGCACAGAAAGTCCTCCTCCCGTTTCCAGTCCTTGGTGTCTGTGCTGCAAAGCCATACAGGCATGTTTTCCTCTCCACACTCCTGGGTTCAGTGGGACTAGCCTCTCCCTGCACTGTTTAACATGTATGTGGGGTTTTTCAGGATTAGGGCTCAGGCAGCAGAGGACCTCATGGGCGAATGGCTTGGTACTGGGCTGGCAGTGTGGTGCTGCTGTGCTGTGCTGCTCTGTCTGGGGAGCATTGCTGTCTGTCTTTAAAGAAGATCAGAGATGCCCCACGCTGCAGGGGTCTTTTTTCCCCTCTCCCATTTCATGTCTCTGAATCGAAATAATTAAGCAAATACGTGCTTTGGGGCTGGACTGTGACGCTCTTGTGGGAGGGCTCTCATTCTAACCATTTTTGTGTTTGCACCGGTTACCCCCAGCTGTCAGGGCTGGGAAACAGATGCCCCCCTCCTTGGTTCTTTGCTGAACCTGAAGCAATGGCAGAGTTTCCCCTGGTAACCTGACAGGATGTCTCTTCTGTTTTGTTGAAGAAAATCCCAGATCTGAGCAGCGAGGGTTGGACGAGCAGCCAGAAGAATCGCCCAGGCGTTTATGAGAAGTTGGGGACACCCCAAGGACTCTAGACTGGTGGAGAGGTAAGAGGTGGGTTAAAAACCTTGCTCACCCAGCTTATCCTGAGTTAGTGTGCTTTGTAGGAGTGCAGGACACGTGTCTTCTGGTGAGGATGGTGGTGTTTATTAAAGTGTGGCAAAAGGCTGCTCCTGGCTCTGGTGTGTGAGCAGCCTTTTAGCTGCTGTGCAAAGAGGGCAGATGCTGAGAGTGATTATTTAGGACATGGAAGGGCAAGTAAGGATGAACAGCCTGGAAAATCCCATGTTATGGTCTGCCAATGGACAACTTCTCCAAAAAGAGCTCTCCCACTTGAAAGCCCTTGGGCAGCTCAGAGGTGCACAGTCCAACCACAGTGGCAGAGGTCCCGTGCTGTGGCTGAACCACTCTGGAGCAGGTAAGTGTCACCCAGCCCAGCTACGTGGTGGAAGGTGAGGTGCCACCTCCTGCAGGCAAGCACAGCTTGAAGCTCTCATGTCTGCTGGGTGGTTTTTGTTTTTTTCTTTCCTGCCCTGGCAGGCTGCAGCATCAGGGATGAGGTGGATGGGCTTTGCTTGGAAAGGAAAGCATCCCCTTAGGAGACCATCACCACCAGCAGCCATGGGCTAGAGGCTGCCCCACCTCTGAGGCCTGTTACGTGTGTACTCAGTATGGGGCTGTGGTAACACACTGCTGTTTGAGGAGGGCTTTGGGATCATGTTCTTTGAGCCATGGTGGAGCAGGGAAGGAGCCTGGAGATGGAGCTGCCCCACCTGGGGATGCAGACCCTGCAGAGCTGTGCTGGGAGTACCTGCTGCTTGCTGGTGCTGTGCCTGAGAAAGGAAAATGATGAATTAAAATTTAACAAGTCTCTAAATGCCAGACAAGGACGTCTTAAGTGGGAATTGTCACCGTTTGACTAGCACAGCCTCTCACTTGGCTAAAACTGCATGGCTTTAATTATGTTGATCCTAGAAAGTAGTAGCTTACACCAAAGAGGAGAAACTGTTGACCAGAATAGCATGAATAATGAATTTTCCCTGTGCCCCTTCCCTGCCCTCTACCCCTGCATCATGCTTCCCAGAGTTGTTTTGAAGCCCCTTTAACCCTGGATAAGCGAGTCCTTTATCCTTTGAGCCACAAGCGAGGACAGAAATGCTCTCTGTGTGCACGCTTGATTGTTTGCCCTGGAGTTAAAAGGTCAAGACTAAGGATCCCAGGGGCGGGCAGCACCTGATGTAGCCACAGTGGGGAGTGGGGTGGGGTCTGGGCATGCAGAGGTGCTCTGCAGCAGCAAACTGCCCTTGGCGTTGCTCCTTGGTGGCATCCATGGAGAGCATGGAACAAGGACTCCTTCCCTCCCCATCCTCGAGGTGGATCAGCCCACCCACGGGACTCCTTGCAGCTCTGCAAATAGAGCAGCTCGAGCAGGGTACGTCGCTAATAATACCAATTACTGTTACATGCTGGCTACAAGGTACACTGGCAGTAATGGGATCCTGGGGGGATGAAATGAAAGCGATATAATATGGTGAGATAAATTAGCGTTGTAAAATTAGCCATGGGTCTAGTCAGGGATCTGACAAATGTGTCGCAGCTTTGGTACAAGCTCCGAGCACTGCTGAATTGGATTTAGTGGCCCAGAGCAGAGCAGATGGGAGCAAGGGAAAAAAGAGTTTGAGGGGTCTCCATGCACACGTGCTACCAGTTAATGCTGCTTGTTTCTTCCTCGCATTCGAGCAGTGATACGTCCCCTGACGCCTGCTTGTGCATGGCAGCAGATGAGTAAGAGCCCAGCCCAGATGATGTGCTGCTGGAGGAGCTTGGGCCTGGCAGAGAGCTGGGAAGGGGGTTGGAGAAGCACCAGCAGGCTGGTGCTCCTGCCAGCTTTGCTGCGTCAGCAGCCGATCCCTGCCCTGCATCCCTGGCTGCCTCTCCCAGGTTTGCTCCCGAGGGGTTTGGTGGGATGTGTGGCAGGCATTTGCACAAGTTTTAGTTGTGTAGGAAGGGTAGGAAGCTGGTTTCTGCTTCCTCTGTTGCAGGCTGACCTGTTTTCCCATGCCTGGATGGGCTCTGGGGCAGAAGGATGTCTGGAGCTGGGCATCCCACAGCCCAGGCACTTCCTCCTGATGACCAAGGGTGTACAGCCAACTCTTTCCCATCCAGAGGCACACTTTATTCCTCACCCTCTGAGGCAGAGGGTGGAAGCCAGGAAATGGGGTTTTGTGCTTCATGGAGACTTGGGAATGGGTGTAGTCAGTTCCAGTGGGATCCACTTCCTGGTGGCTCACTGGGACAGGCTCCACCACAGGGATGTGAGCACTCCTGCCCATGAGAGGATGAGAGCCTCTCATGGATTTGTAAATTGCATGTTTAATGGCTGACATATTACATTGGATCTGGGGAGAGACAGGCATGGTTTAGGTCTGGTTTGATAAGGCCTGTTCTGTGACTCACTATAATAACAAAGGGGGAGAAAAATTCTGAATATGCTTTATAGTGCCCTGCAGTGGAGCTGAAGGGGGCAGAGGGGTGGCAGAGCCATCTCTGTAAGGCCTCTCCAACTCATGCCAGGATGGTTCAAGAGGAATGGTGGGCACGTGGCAGACGTGTCTGTGGGAGGGAACCAAATTGTCACATCCCTGGGGATGTGTTAGCCAATAGGTTAGCCAATCCAGATAGTTTGTGGAGGTCAGGCCACTGCAGTTCTGCAGCAGCATCAGCTTGAGAAACGAATGCCAAGGGATTGTCTCAGCACTGCCCAGAGAATCCCCAGGGAGCTGAGCCAATTTGTGTGCTGAGCCCGTGGGGACAGAGGAGGAGACAAGCTGCCCTTTGTGGGAGGTCAGCCTGGGCACTGCCACTGGTCCCTGTGTCCTCCTGCTGCCCTCCTGCTGCAAGCAGGGCACATGGTGACAGTGGTGACACACTTCAGGTATATCAGAGCCCCAGGGCTGAGCTGTCCTGCTAAAACCAATGGGGGGATGAACTGCAGCAGCAGAAGGAGCCCCTTCCCTCAACTTCCCTGCTGGAGAAGTAGTGGTGTAAGACTGCAGCAGGACATAGAGCCAGCAGCTGGAATGCCAGTAGCAGCATAAATAGAAATACAACTTCTCAGCTTCTTGTGCAGCTATGATATATCTTGTTTATATTGACTTTCTTAAACCTCTAAAATACATTGTAGATTGATCTACAAATCTGCAAAAAGCACCTTTTTTATTTTTTTTTTTAAGCCTAAAGCAATTTTCTGCCTGCTCCTTGTGGTTGGCTCTGAACAGACACATGTTCTCTTGTCCTATTTGAGGCTGGCATGCTGCCACAGTGGTAGGAAGTTTAGCAATACTTGAGCTGGATCGATTCAAGCCATTATCTGTGCTGCCTGGGACTTGGTGGTGAAGGGGAAGAAAATATTCTCCCCAGACACATCAAAGCCCTGTGATAAGGACACACAGTTAAGCTCTATTTATAGATGGACAGATGTCTTGCCAAAGCTTTGCTGCTGTCACTTGATTATGCAGTTTTTGAGTGCTTGGATCTGAAGGTGGCTGAGGTGTGTCCCCCCTAGGCACAGCCCCAAGCAGTACAGCTTCTAGGTGGTCTTTTGCCTTCTTTCAAGAAGGGACCTGATGTTTAGATAGTAAGGATGAAGTGGCTTAGAGGTCTTTTCTTGGAGTTAGTGACAAAGATCCATAGTCCCTCATCTTGTTCTTGCGTCTCATAGACCCACAAAGACTTTGGAGCTCCAGAGCAGAGCTGCCAAGGATGTCACATCTGAACTGTGTGGCTGTTGAGCTGAGGGCTCATGGCTTAAGCATCTCCTGGGGCACCTGGCTCTCAGCTGTGCTACCCTCCCAGCAAAGAGATTTTTTCCTACTGTTCACCCTAAGCCTCCCAACCACCAAGGTGTGTAGCCACTGACATGCTGTAACTCATGAGTTCTCCTTCTTTATGAAAAGCTTTCAGGGATATTTGAATCAGGATCAGTCATGCAAGCTGCATTTGGAGTGGCTCCCCAGGCCAGGTTGTCTCAGGTCTTGCAGTGTTTGTGCACATACATGTTACATGAGCGGTTGATTTTTGAGGCAATGGCAAAAAGGGTGATATGAAATGGGTTAGCCAATCCAGATTCTGCTCCAGGTGTGAAGGAGTGCTGGTGCTCATTTCACAGAGCTATCCTTAATTTCCTTCCATATGTTGCTCTATCTCAGTAGTTGTGAATTTGGCAATGGGAGAAGGGCAAAGGCTTCATTCTGCTTAGCCTTGAGTGTTGTTGTTTAAGGAGCTTTGCTGGTTTTCTCTTGGTTCTGACCCTAGATAAAGGAAGGACAATCCTCTCCTAGCATCCAGTGGGAACCTTCTGTTTCAGATATGCCCATTGTCACTTACCTCCTTGCTATGGGTTGCTGTGAAGAGCCTGTCTCTGTGTCCTCAACAGCTTTCCTGGATATTTCAGTGGACCTGGCTGAATTTCCTTTGGTTAATTAAGACTGGGACATCTCTTGGGGCTCCCAAAACTATGAGCAATGTCTTGATGTGGTTCAAGTGCTGTGTGACATGCTGGCTATGCCTGTGCTCCCACAGCCCAGCCTGCTGCTGATGCCTTTGCTGCCTGGGCAGGCAGCTGGCAGGACCATGCTGGCACAGAGTAGGTGTTCTTATAGCACACCAAACCACAGCAATGAGCTGGAGAATTTCACAGAAAGTGCTCTTTTTTAGGCCTCAGTGAATTGTGGCTCCGGGAGGGAAGCTGTTGTATATAGACAGGCTTGGGGGACAAGACCTGACTTCATTCATTTATTTAACACTTATTAACTCTTATTTAATCTTGATCAGGTGCAGGATAGGTGCATGATGGATCCTGGCTGTGGGCCATTCCCAAGGCTGGGACAAAGGAGATTTCTCTTCCCCAGGGTGTCCATAATGTGTTCTCCTGCACGGCTCCTGCAGAGCCCTCCGAGCACTGTTTGGTTTTATTCTGTCTCCAGGGTGCTGCTCAGCCCTGCTCGTATATTCCTCTGATGAGTGGGCAAGACAGGAAGCAAATACC